ATATATATATATATGTATTAACGTGTTGTTTCAGATCGGATGTTTATCCATCTCTTAGAAATGATAAAGTTGGAGAAGTTTCATCAGAATTCAGTTCACCAAATGTTGAGATCTATCCAGAGTTATACGATGAAATGGCGCAGTCTGCATCTTCAGTTGCTGATCTTCAAGCACCACCCCTACCCACTGAAACCAAGTTTGTTGCTCGATGTATTCTTCCATTGACTAGGTTGTTATTCAGCCAACTGAAGTGATATTATGTGGAAAGAAAGGACGAGAAACGTTCGAATTTAGAGATTGGAAAAATAGAACAATAATCATTATCAAATGATCTGAAACATATTCACATATCTTCACTCTATGTTCAATTAGGTTTTATTTGAGAAGTGAATGAAATTAAAGCGTTGAATTGGAGACTATCAATTGTAAAAGTTTCTGACCTAATATTCATAGTTTACTCTACATCCGATCAGGACTCAGTTATTTGTGTTGAGATTGGGTACAAAGACGATGCTAATACCTGAAGCACCAGCATTCATTTATCCCGAATTAACAAATCAGTACGAATTAAACGATCATGGATTGTTGACCGAAAATCAGCTGCTAACCTTTTATCACAATGAGCTTTATGAGAATTGCGATGATTTTGTGGATGCGTTCATTGAGGTCAGCTAATTGCCCTCTTAAAGTGTTTTCCAAAGAAATTCTATCCTCATTTGGACGTGTGTGAAGATAAAATGCTTTTCGTTTCGTAAATACAATACTAATATGAGCTGGTTTTGGAAATGTTGATTATTTTGATGGGATTGCAACGTTTTTTACATTCAAGAGTTTACAGCAAGAAGAGAGTCCAAGAAATAACCTCTTCGAATATTTGGAAAACTATAAGAAAGTATGTGAAAAAATAGCGCTAAATGATGTGAACGTGGCTGAATGTGAGGAACTTATCAAAGCGTGCGCATTGCACACATGGATTGCCGAAAATCGGGTCATCAATCAGGAGGTTTTTAGTCTGTTTCAGCTTCTCGAAACTTTGACAGTTGATTTTAAGTACAGTTGTCTCATTTTTGAGTGCTGATATTGTGCATAATCTAATATTCGTTTACATATGCATATGTACTATCTGTTTTTTGATTCAATCTTTGATATGTTTTATTAGGTGATGAAGCAGAAAAAAAGACATGATGTGTTGAGATTGAAGTCGAATAAGATATCGTTTGGACAGTGTGGTAGAATTCAGTTATTTGAGTTCACTTAGCTGTGATTAATTATGTAATGATCGGATATCGTTTACAATTCAGTGAAGTATTAATCCTGTCCGAATAGGTATTTGATTGACCACTAGAAATAGTTGAAGTATTGAACTTGCTGAATGATTTTAATTGTTTTAAAGGGCAAATGTGGTGATGATAAATATGCAACTGGTAGTGCCACGTATTTGGTGGCAACGCTTGATAAAACGAAACTCAGTGAACTGTCGCAATTGCTGAAACGTGATGTTAATGCAAGACTTGATTCGTCGTTGAGTTTAGAGATTGAGGTCGGTTTTGCGCATTGTTTTCATTCCTTACATCTTATAGCAACATCTGTCCAACAGAGAAGTGAAATGGATCGTTCACTGTTGAATTTTTTTCAGCGACATATGATATATGCTCATGTTGTTTTCATTATTTGTTAATTTTTATGTGCAATTAAAATTGTTTCATTCGTTTGCAATGCAATATTTCAGGCACGAGCGCTTGCTTTGCAGATTCAGTGGATGATTGTCGACTTGAATAACGCTTTCATGCGAGAGCACTGCCTAACGGCAAACAGTCCGCCATGCTGTACGTTTATTCTCATTCGAATTGTCAGCATCATAACCAAACCGTCATTTTCATTGTCATTGCGCATTATTTGTTAATTATTATGTGATTAGTGTGCAGCGATGTTCTGAAATAGTCATTAGTGAGAGCGTGCGAAGTGTTTTTCTTATATTAAATGTTGTGCCTTTGTCAGTGGAACGTGAAAGTTTTTTTGAATGAATTAGTTATTTCCATTGTTCTTTTGTCCCACCGATCGCGTTCATTTGTTGAGCCTATAGTCCTAGAGTAGCTGCTGTTTATTTCTGGAATTGAGCAAATTTAAAAATTCAGTCAGCAGGTTCCGCAGAGCTTGTATAATGATATTATGTAATAGATACCCTTACGATAAACATTTACGTCATATACCGATTTCAATCTTATTCCTTTTTTGAGCAGTAGCCAAAATAATGATTTTGAAATGTGCAGTTATTATCGAAAGCAATGCAACTGTTAGTCGAACGCAGCTGCGAGGTGCACTTTCGGATGCGTTTCATTTTTTACGATATCCAGGGTTGTCATCTCGATTCATCGATAGTGTCACTGCATGGATCACTGAACTGGTTCGTTTCTGTTCATGAACATGAAATTCAACATGAGCATGATGCATTCAATTAATATTGTAGAGAATGAACGTCTCTAGAATGTATCACGAACAAGATGAAAGGCTTATCATCACGTTCTATATTTGACATTGCAACTCCTTTGTTTTTGATGCATTCTTCTGAGAGAGATCCATTATGTTGAGAATGCATCTTAGAGACGTGAGCTAAGAACTATGAGATTTGTAAAACGGTCATTGATTCTCGGTAAGCTGAAACTATGGGCATAGGTTCAAGTAATATGAAATACTTGATAAGGAACTAGAAAATTGCAACTAATTGCACAACAGCTAAGCGCTTAATGGTTGAAATGCTCCTGTTAGGCAAGTAAGGAAGATAACAGATCAAATTTAAGAGCGCGGTATTATTGAAAGCGTGTACGAGTGAAGACCAGCAATATTTATTATGTCAGTTATTGCGATTAGCATCACCAGTCGCAAATTGGGCAGCACCTTTATTGCAAACGTATGTAAATATGAATCCACTGAACGATCGTTTCGTCATCGATCATGTCGTTACGATGCTTGCTATTCTGTTATCACCGATCAGGTAGGTACCTTGCTGCTCCTCTCGGACTAATCATGTTACTATTGCAAGGTTGTTTATGAGTAATGAAAATAAACATAGTTTGAGGAATGAAACACTTAAAATCGGTTGTTATTGAAGGGCACGAGAGAGTTTTCTTCAACGAATTGTGAATTACGAAAATGACGATAATTCATGGGCTATTCTCAGTGAAGACGTTGATGAAGTTGGTAAAAATGCTGATTAATGATTTAAAGTTTGATTCGAATTGTCGAATGTAATTTGTGCTTATATTATCAGGATGTTTGTCATATCACGTATAATAATTGCCAGCTAAAATTTGTTCTAAATGGTGTATACGCCGAGACAGTTTCAACGAGTAAAGTGCAGATAACGTGATAATCAGAAAACGATCGAATTTGTTATTGAGAGATAAGCTTCGGAGCCTAATTTAGTGTTTGAACAGTTTGCGATGAAGTTGATCGGTTTAATTTGGGTTTACAGGGTGAAGTATCATTGGCAGCTGTGAATGAGACGGATTTAATTGCTTTCTTGGATCAGTTCAGCACTGAGGCGTTATTCGCAAAAGCCATACAACATTTCACCGCTGTGAATCGTAATATAAAATCATTTCTCTTTTTTTTGTTGAATTTATCAAAATTTATGTTCACATATCATACGATGAACGAACACAGATAACATTTAATCTTGTTTCACTGATCATTTGGTGTCTTTGAATTGGCTGCTTTTATAAATGAATGGCTGGTATTCCAAACAGGAGATATGAGATTGCCGATGTGTTCGAAACAATTCAGATTGAGTCATTGAAATCAAATTTTATTAAATGAAGACCACAGAGGCAATTTCTATCATCAAACTGTGAACGTTGTGTCAATTTTTTATAAAGTAATGAACAGTATTGAAATTGGAAAAGAAATATCAAAATTCATTTCTGCAGAAATGGCGTTCATATAGATCACTTTCATTGAAATCTTAATGGGCTGAGAATGTATTGCATTGTTTGAATTTATTTAGGGTCTAATGCAGTCGCACAGGTGTTAATGTCAATCGCATTTGAGTTGGTTTTATTGAAAATATTTGATGAAGGTCTAACGACGTACAGTCATCCACAGTTCCGTCAGTTTTGCAAACAAATTGGCCTTGCAATGCGTCAAAGTGTTAGGTGAAATTTTAGAAGTTAGCTGTATTTCTTCCTCTCTATTCGGTCTTTATGCTCAGTGTTTTAAAATCATTTGAATTCGTTTTGTGGTTTGAGTTTAATGAGTCAGATGATTGTAGTATTCTCAAGAAACACCGATTAATCTAAAGGAAATCATTCTGATGCAGATATTTGGCAGATTTCGTCGGAATAGCGAAGCGCTTGTTGTCGGCTGATGAAATTGCAATGGTAGAAAAAGAGTTTGATCGTATTTTGTTACACGCTGTTCACTACATTGTCAGTAAACAAAGGTCAATCACATTTCAACGTTTCTTTATAGCAGTGGTTCTCACGTTCGGATACTCCACTATCCCTTTTAATGGTCTGATAGGCCGCCGTTACCCCAACCCCCCCCCCCCCCCCCCCCCACTCGATACCTCCAAATTACCCAAAACGGGTAATTTCACTCCTTCTGAGAACCACTGTCCTAGATTGCAATCAGTTATGATTGCATGAAAAGCTATTGTCTATGACACGCTCACTTCAAATTGATGTAGATGGATTCTCATTCTTTTCAGACATATTTCATTTACTACTTTGCCGACCTTTGCATTGCCTCTTGACACGTTCAAATTACCCAAATGGGTAATTTCACCCCTATGAGAACCACTGTCTTATAGCATATCTGGAAGAGAGATTTCAAGTCGTGTCGTCGACTTAGGGTTCATAATTAGTTTTGAGATCAGTTCTCAATTCTGCTCAGAAAACATTCATCTGTTATTGATAATTTGTCATTTAAATAAGAAGAGAATCGGGTTAGGAAAAAATGACTTTAAAAAATTAAATATGACACTAATGTGAAATTAATGAAGTGTTTCCTTTACTGCAGGAAATCAGGTACTTATTTAAATGACGAAGTTCTATAAATGAATTTAAACGAAACAACTGATGAGTAGAGTAAGGAAGCAGTAATTCACAGTTCACAGACGTTCAGTTTCAGCCTTGGTCTATGGCAGTTTTTGGTTGATTTACCGTATAGCGTAATAAGTGGGTCGTGTCGATTGCGATGTCAAATATTGTTGAGATCAAGCGAGCCGTTATCCATTAGCCAGTTGTATGAAATTCCAGAAAAAGACCTAAACGCTCGTCTGAAAGCAGGTAATATTCTTATTGCTGGCGACACGAATGAAAGTTTTGGTGATATCATTACAAGTAGTTGTTTTTCAGCTGGTTTATTCGTCGATCGTCTACTGCAGTTACCGAATAACGATAGCAATTATATGGTCAGTGCATTGGCAGCACTAATGTCATATTCAGAAACACATTCTGATGATTTTCTGATGGAATTATTAAACGTTAGTTTGATGAACCATTTTTGATGAACCATCTATCCATTTTCTTTTTTTTTGGTCAATGTCCTACCCATGTTTATTTCCAATAAGTTTATGGGTATCAATCGTCTCTTTAATCAGAAATTTTTTCCATCTACATCAATCTCATCAAAATATTTTATTCAGTACAGTTTTATTCAAGTAGTCATCAAAACTTTGTTTGCTTAAGAATTTCATATTGTAAGCATTTACCTATTTCGAATATTTATTGTATTCAGTATCCAGTTATCTTTCAGTTAATTCGTCTGTTGCTGGGAGATAATGATTTTGCATATTTCAACGAAACGTTGCTTCATTATTCAGCTTTTTTTTTCATTTCAGTTTGATGGTCAACAGCGATCATAAACGCTGTCATGTTGTAATGATAACTTCCGTTTGTCTTTATTAGGCAGAAGATCATTTATGAATTATCGCATCCGTTTTCTTTTCAGTTTATCATTTTAGGCTTGTTTTTTGGATGAGTCAACTCGTGACAATTATTACAAGGTTGGGTCGGAAGCTATCGGAGTGTTGGTTGATAAACAACCACAGCTACTATCGAAAGTTTTGTTGATCATCGACAGAAATATCGACAGTTTAGATCAAGTAATTATTTTTTATCCGCGTTTGCTTATCCCACTGATCAAACGAGTGCAAATTTATTTGTTTTTGAGAACCTCCTTTAGCAATCTTGATCGAAAAATAAATTGAAAAGTTTAGCTGATCGAGCATCTATTCAGTTGAGTCTGAATAAAATCACCACCGATCGCTAAATGGTAATAAGAATATATGTAAGGTTATGGGAAGGTGAATGTCGACTCCGATTTTCTTTCATCCATTATCAGTCACTCGGTGAATGGTCACCATAAAAAACTAATCAAATTGGTCTTTTAGCTCTGAAATTTTTTAGCAGTACAACTTGTTTTCTTTTTCTTTCTGCAGAGATATACCCGTTCTCCCTTGGCGGTTCAATGAAAAGCACTAGCTGATCTATCTTTTCTTCCAAGTGGGAGCAAATTTTCCAGTGATTTTGTACTGACTTATAAAGGCAAGTGAAATTCGTTACAGTATGCAGTGGAAATTCTGTCGAATGCACCGCTTGCTAAATGTCGCCTATCTGAATCAGATGTTGGCAGCATCTGTGGTAAATGGCTTATTAATAGAAGCCCAGATCATCCAGGTTCGAGAATCGCCAGGTATAATCTTCGATTGCTACGTACGAAAAGACACATACCAAAACATAGCATACGATTCTTTCAGGCGCGTTCTCGGCTCGATGAATTGGGGCCGTGACTCAAATGGTGAATTGTGGTTGCATAGGCGTGTTCATCAGGTTTGCGCTGAAACGATCGTTAAGGGTCATATGGCACAGTGTAAAGGTACGAATGGATTAATCGCGAAATCATTCAACAAAGTTGCGAAATTAGCCTCGAAAGTACCCGATTATGAACAACAATTTGACACATTTTGTTGGGATATTTTACTCAGATTGAAGTTACCAATTTTGGTTTGTTTCATCATCATTTGAATTTTATTTCATAATTTTTTATTGGACTAATCAATGGCGTTTTTTCTACTGTTTTGCGTTTCAGTTATCATCCATATCTTCGTTTCTTTATTACTATGATCATAACCTTCACTTATCAGTCGGTTTGACAGAGACTCCATCTGTTTTAAGATGTCATAAATGGAATAAATTATTTCTTCTGACACCGTAAACAGTTTATATCCAATTTTGTATTGATGTGTTAATGAATATTTTGTGTATTCAAATATGCAGTGTATTTACAAGCAGTGTCTGATATCATTCGATCAATCTTTCGCAACGTTACAGCTTTTACTTTACATCTTCATTAATCGTTTACATCAATACTATCAATTTTTCAGAACGATCCCGCATCACCGTTCACAGATCTCGCATCGTTTTATGTACATATTGTTCAGAAGTGTCTTTCGAGGTATTTTTCTGTTGATATTGACATAATTTCTTGTATAACCCGAAAAATTGATAACACATTCGTAAATGTCTCTGGATGAAGTATGGAATGCGGTCATTGTTTTATTCAATACATAATTAGTTTACTTGTCTATGTATACATTTATAAAAATTGCAGTCTAAATGTATTTCTGTCGAGTGGTCTCCCTTTATGGACGCATTTGGTGAACGCAGGTTGTTATGCGCCATGTTGTGTGATTCTCACTCGACTAATCACTCTTTTTCCAAATTCAACAATAACACTGATCAGCAATCAAAAGTATTCATTATTTTATTCGTCCACTGTAAATTTTCTTTGCAATTTTCGTCTTATCCAACAACCAGTATTGAATAGGAACTAAACAACAGAAGGTAAGTAACAACGAAAGCTAACAATAATCTCAAGATTTGACCGTCGTGATATCTGCAGACAGCATGAAGAATATTTACTTTCGTATCATTTGTTTCAAAGTTTTGTGGCCTCTTCTAAGTTTATGCGACTTTCGTGTTGATAATAGTCACTGAATTACAACAACAGATTCATTGATTTGTCTTCATTGTCCTCCCATTTATTTTGATCTAATACTATCGGCAAAAATTTCTATTTAGTCATTTTAACTGAATGTTTCCGGTCGGTTTTGATTGAATTACCAAATTCGCTCGCTTAATTGTCGTTAATCCTCATTTGGTTTCCACTGAGGATCAATAACATAGTCCCAATTTGATTTGCTCTACAGCTAGTTTTTACATTTATGATCCTTATGTTGGCACATTGCTGTTTGCAGTTTCGTACAAACATTCGATCGTTTACTGCATTCTGATCAGTCCTCATATGCAGCTCAATTAATCGCCGGCTCCGACCAATTCCCGGGTCCCACGCTGAAGCTGCTCAGTTCAGCAATAACTGTATATCATTTGTTGTACTCAGTTTCTCTTTGCTTTATTTTCAGTTTTGTCAATTCTGCAAAGGATCCATATGGTAATCAACACATTATTTTATCAGTTCAGTCGTGTAATTCATTAAAATTTGTTTCAGTATCACATTACTGAGCAGTACACCCAAAGTTCGATAGACTCGTGGATTAGGTTGCTTTGTTGCGAGAGGGCCACCGAATGGAATACGGATAAATATACATTGTATTTATTGGATGTGATCACGCGTCTAGTTTTTGAGAAGAACGTTGATGATTTACTGTCAATGGTGGATTTGATAAAGTGTATTTATATGGCTATGATACAGGTTTATTTTGCTTTTGATGTTAGCAACGTTCAGGAATCGAGTGGAAATGCTTTCATTATTGTTGGCGGACTGAAATATAGCACTGTCAAAAAAAAGATCAAATTTTTGAGAAATGGAAAGAAAATTCAAGAGGAATGCTGTCGTGGTTTACGGCAGAGCAAAGTGCACCACCGTTGATAGCCTCAGCGAATTTACCTGATGCACCATGGGCTTCGTTCTTGCTGCTGTTAGCTGAACAAAGAAGTTTTGATGAGTTTTACGAAGCACTCTATTCATCGATGGGAAAACATCCAAAATATACGCTTGAACAAGCCGTTGGGGTACACTCTTCATCTTGTTTTCATGCATTCATTTTATTTATCGCAGCATCCTTTTAAGTTCACTTCTTATTTATCGTTTGCAGTATTTTCCTTCTATTGCTGAACTCGTTGTTACCGTAAAGTCATTAAATCGAACTGGTTTGAAGGTTTTGAGTTGCAGTCTAATGTCTCGTTGATTATTTATTACGTAATTTGAATTTGTTTCAGAAAGCAGCGAACAAGTCGCATTTTTCTTTGGATGTCACTCGACTACATTATTATCGTTGGTTGGAGTTTTGCTGTGCGGATAAAATCGAAGAAAGCATTGTTTTTCCGTTAGCTCTTCAGCAACTTGTTATACGGCTGTTCACGAGGACCAGTTATCTTGCGTTAGTTTGCTTAGGCGTTTCTTTTGCACTTTCACCCATCAAGTTCCCTAAAATTCATCAAAATGTACCCTCGTCACCGGGAAATAGTTATACTAATACTTCCGTTATCAATTGTGAGTTGCATACGTGGTGATGAATAATTCTTCAGTAAACAGTTTCAGTCTTGTTGATAGCGTGGTGCAGCAGTGAATGAACTAACAGTCATTTCTATGACAGTGTCCGCTTTATAGTGTGAAATCATAAGAATTTTCACTTAGTCAGTAAAGGTGATGAGATGCTGTAAGGTATCGATCGATTTCAGTGCAAAGATTTGTTACGGAGGGCGTTATTGGTCATGTAGTGTGAGTCAAGCGATGTTCGAAACTTTACGGAAAAAGATTCTCGTTCGCTGTGAGCAGAGCGCTAAAGTCAAAGAAACTGCCGTTTATTATAAGGTTTATTGCAGCAAATCAATTTCCTTTTTGTTTTTAATCGGCTTCATTGAATCATAGCAACTTGAAGTTATTATTCATGCTTAACTTCTGTCGTAAACTTTCGTTATTTTTTCGCCGTTTAATCGATCGAATTTATTTGCAAACTTTCAGGCTGTTGGGCAGTGGTTATCGAATACTGCCATTTATGAGCCTAATTTTCGTGCATTTGACGATCTCCTTCTTGATCACCTTGTACAGTTGATCATTGCGGGCGATTTGGTGAGCTTTGACGGTTTCTCTCATTTTTGATTGAACATATTTCCATATCCCGACTCATGTTCGTTCACCGTGAACTGTGTGATTCAGTCTACATGATCGCAGTTCGACAAGAATCCACTTTTTCATCGTTTGTGCATAATATGTGTATATTTGCCCAAAAGTTTTTATCATAGGTTCATCCCAAGGTGTTGCTGGATTGCTAAATAGACGTACTTTACTCATTCGAATCCAATCAACGATCCTAATGCTTCAGCGCTTACAGCTCTAGAAAAACTTTTTTTTTCGAATTTCGGAACTTCCAAGACCTCATCTCGAAAAAGAAAGTTTTTATCAATGCTTGAATGTATGCATTGTTGAAATGAACCAATCATTTTTTTGATATGAACCAAGGAACTATAATACGTAAAGAATTTTATTTTTTTAGGGAATATTTTCAAAATTCCGTTGAGATTATAGTCAACCAGCCGACCATACTAAGTCATTTACTGATCGAATCCCTAGGTATTTTTTAAAAATAATATCAAATGAGGAGCGTAAAATTGAGCAGTGAACCTCGAAAAATTTGTTTATTTGAAAGTAATTTGAGCATTAAAAAGTTATTCTGTGTAAGTGATACCTTCAATCATTGTGAACGGTAATCTGTTTTCAGATGTTATGGACTCAGTTCGTTGATATGAACTGTCTGCACGAGCAACGAAACGAAAGTTGTAAAGTGGGTCGTCGTTGTTTATCTCAAATTATCTCTGTTCTTTCATCGGAATTTCTGTACTGTCTATTCATCAAAGATAAATTTCAGTTGTATGCATTCACATGTCACTTAGGAACGATTTCAAATCAGTTCCCGTCAGAAACTGATGTTGCAACAATTGCCGAAATCGTGGCCAAATTGAATGCTCGCAATCGTGCGTTACCATTTCCACAACTACCGATGCATCCATCGTTACCGAACATGATTAAGTTGGATATCAGTGATGCATGTAATAGTCAAGTTGTGTTACCGTTATTCTCCCAACAACTTAATTCTGTCAATAATGCTGCCAGGTATCGTGTAAAATATTCATTCACCTGTACACTTCTGCGATTTCCTTCAATTTTCAACCAGCAAATTAGAATTGCTTGACAACAAATCACAGTTGCTCACTGTCTTTTAAAATTGTTATTGAGTGTTTTTCTGACTCACTATTGAATTCGTTCCTATTAACTCAAAAACCTCTTACTTTCATGGCTTAGGCTTGATGACAAACTAGTAAAACTAACGACTCATTTGAAACACTCTCTTAGAGCAATCATCATTTTCATGTTTACACCAAATGTTCCTTAGTTTCATGTTCGTTTGATGTTCACTTGCATGTTTTTCGTTCGTATACTCAGTTCGTAGATGGGAACTATAATACATTAAGAATTTTGTTCTTTTAGGGAATATTTTGAAAATTTCGTTGAGATTATAATTATCAGTGTGCATATGAGCAGAGACTAAATACAATCGCAATGGTATGAATATGACAATATTGGCCTGTTTTGTAGAGCATTCATAACTGCCAAAGAGGGTATTGAGTCGTTGGATGAGTCATATTTGAAGGAATACCCACGACTCTATACAAATTCCACCACTCAGTTGTCGATCGTTTTGCAATGTGGTTATGTTTTTGGAATCAACAAATGTGCACATCCGATAACCGTTACTGCGACTGTAAATCAAAGTCAATATCAGGTTTGTTTCGTATTCAGAAAATTGATGGCACATTGTTGATGGGGATTGAACTTTGCGGCAGTATTCAAGCCGAGATAGAAACTGCACGTACGCCGCATAAACTGTTCGGTATTCCGTCATGATCCATTTCATAAATTGAAGCTAAATGCTTCTTCAAAATATTTCTAAATTTCAACAAATTTATGCAATCAGTTACCCTCAGTTGTTGTCATCCTTGCAACTCAACGCTATTTCATTGAATTGTTACTTTTTTGCAATTGAAATTGCACATTTGATGGATAACCTGCTGTTGAAATGAATATAGGTGAGTGATATAGGTGAATGATATAGGTGAGTGATTGCTTAATGCATGCCAGTCAGTTGATATCTGAATTTAATTTTCAGTCAACAGTTGAAGCAGCAATGAACGATAATCGTCAAAAACGATCCAATGAAGTTGCTGCTGTTTTCGCGCAACTTCTCAACCCATCGGCTGTAAATTGTGCTCACTTACAATATGTTACTGCGTATGTTCCTATTGTATGCTATATTTTATTCCCTATGAAAGAGCGAGTGAAAATCCAAATCGATTTCCATATTTCAGAGTTCTTTAATGCTATTGAAGGAGATTGGACTGTGAAATTTGACTCATAGTTGATAGTTTCTTATCCATAGGAAAATTAACCATTACATCTTCATTTCATGAATACAGTTATAATGATTCAGTTGAATATTTACAATTCAAGACAGTCGTATTTCGTAAGTAGGCAACATTACAGAAAGATGCATGAGATGAACTCGGTGTTGAGTGGTTTTCGTGCACAGCAATTGCAAATTTCTGGGCGAACATTATTCTATCATGCAGCCACATCGATATCATCGCTAGAATTGATCTCACCAGCATCTGCAACCACATATGCGTTTGTTCTCACAAAACTTGGTCAGGTATATTTCATATCCATTCGAGCAATCAATACAACCCTTTAGTATATCAGTACTGATCTATGATCATAATTTTTTAAGACATCACGGCTTTTAATGATTAACAAGTTGTCGTTTAGAGAACGTTGGACTTATTCAAAAGTAGAACGGTTGGTGGTAAATGTAAAATTATGACTGATCCACATGAAAATTTAGCGGAATTTCTAATTAAAAATATTTGCAACTGTGGAAATTTGATTCTATATCAATGATTAAAGATTAATTAATTCAACCAAAATTCTTGTTTTGATTGAGGAGTAAGTATATGTTCTGTTGGACTAGAAATTCTTTTTTTTCGTAGCTTTCTGTCATTCTTTTTCTGTAGCAATGCGCAAGAATGTGATTTTGTGTGCTACACACATTTAACAGTCGGTCATCACATTGCGATTCCAACTTGTTGTTTTTATAATTTCAGGCTTTCATTGCGAATCATTCTAACGAACAAACACATCTGATGTCAATCGTGCTGGGCGGTTCTCATTTAGCGCATTTACTCACCGAACACTTTACACCGCACTGTGTGCCTTCATCTCAACTCCTCTCATTATATTCTGCATTGAGTCAAGCCGTTCGTAATCCATCGACTTCATCTGCAGCCCTTTCACTTCTTTCACAACTTGATATCAAGAAGACTGGTGAAAAGTATTTGCTTAAATCATAATTCATTTATTCATTGTTTTTTCTTCATTACAATCAATCAAAAATACGTACGGATTGAACAGTTTTGTGATCGAGTTGAATTTTTCACAATTTGCTCTAGAGAATGTTGGATTTTAGATTACCTCCACATCAATTCTCACAGTTGATGCCAATTGCATTCGAGAATATTATCTCAATAACCGACTCTAGTTCACCGTTATACGATATTTGCACTAAGCATTTCATTCATTCACTCTTTCATCGGTTTCCTGAGAATTTCATCTCTGGTCTTAAGTTGGCTCTTGCAGGTACGCTTGAACGACGCTCTTCATTTGTTTTATTTATTTGACTTGAAGCATGCGATCAGACAACTGTCTAATTGACTGCGCATTTTGCATTCACTGCGGTCGAATAATCACCATATCATATTTTCTGTCGAATATTTCGGAATTGATAAAATCAAATGAAATTAATAACAATGATTCTACTAAACTCTGCCGTTAAAGAGTCAATAATCTGTTTTTTTTTCATTGTTAGCGCTGACAGTGAGTTCGTTTCATGTGCACGATGAATGAGGCAGTATAACTGAATATATTCCAGCATGTGATACCAGTGCTACACCAGTGGACGTATTCGATCTTATAATTGATCCGTTGAACGCTAAACACATCGATTCCCTCGACTCGAAACCGGAGTTCGTGATCGATGCTATCACGGTATATGCTTTTTTGTTACCTTCTGTTCGTTTTATCCATTTGTATCTCTGTATTGCAATTGTGTGTTGGTCATTATGTTCAGAAAAAGGTTGGTAAAGAAAAAAATTCTCGACTGAACTTCTGAAAAACTGTGCAAATTCTGAAGTTCACTACATATTTCAAAGCTCATTTTGAAGCATAATGGAAAAGCCCTTGAAATTGCTTATTGATGGAATTCATCTAAAAGGGTACAATTTGGTTACAGCGTTCTTGTCATAAAAGTTGAAAAAAGAAAGCAAATAATTTTAGGCAGCAGAGGCCACTAAAGCACTTGAAGAAAAGTTCATAAAATCAAGACGTGAGCTGTCAACACGATTGTATTCTGTGTGGTCGAAATACCTGAGCAGAGTAATGGTTTTAGTCGAATTTTTCGCGTACAAAATGATTGCTTTACCATTCGATTCTGAACAATCAATTTCAAAGCTAGAAGCAGGTGATTCAGTTTTTGTTTCGTTCTTAACTGTTTACGAAGGTGAATTATCCAGCAAAAATCGCATCTAATGAATAGTTGACTGATCACGTTCCTCAAGGTGAATGAATGTCTTATGAAGAATGAAGTTGAAATGCCATAATTTATTCCATTGTTTCCATTCTTTCCCAGTTTCGATACTGAGTAATGTTCATTCATTCTAACTCAGTAGCAGATTAGATTTGGAGCCCATAAATTCTTATCTTATGTATTGAAATCCATTTTGCATATCAGCGGAATCGATAATTTTATAAATTGGTTGGAAACGACAATATGTGTCGATTTCTGATTTTTGCATGAATGTGAGAAACATCGTCAAATTGTTCACTTTCTGTAATCGTATATGACCTTATCGCGATGGTGAGAGGAAATTTTTCCAAAGATTATTATTTTATGCAAATCAGTCAACTGTTTTTTGATAATGGAACCAATTGTTATGGTATCTGATTAATATTTCGCTGGTTATGAATTGAATACTTTGGTTTTTAGAGCTTCGGCAACAATTCACAAAATGTACACAGTTGTTTGCACCTCTTATTGAGCCGTTTGGTGCTGGTTTTGCTGCATGGAATCCGAATGATGTGGATGGTGCGATTTGTGTAATGGATTGTTTCGTGTCGTTAATGATTCGAATACATTCTCTCTACGATACTTACTTACCACCTGGTTCAGAGAACCTTGAAACGTTGCTGTTCGACTACTATGCTAGCACTATCGGTGAACTGAGTCGTGGAGGAACGCACGTACATCAACTCGTTGTAAGACAATCCTTGATTCACTTTTTTTATACGATATATTAGTGCAAAAGAACTGAAGAGTTTGTTTCAGTTCAAAACAAAACTTTTTTAAGAGTTCGAAGTTTTCTCCACGTTCTCACTTTTGTTGAGTTTTTCGACAAAATTCAGTGGAACGTGAATGAATCAGATTATCAATTTTCATTCAACATCTCTTTAAGATTCCCACATTTGTTTGAGTTTTCCATTTCATGGTGACTCTTTGATGAAGTAGAATATAGGAAATTTGAATAGATGGATGCTGTTTATTATTTTATTGCCACAATTTAAGGAAACACGTTTGACTCGACTTCCATGGAATATTTTTTGGCCGAATCTGGTGAGTTTAGCGTTGATGAAAAAGGTGCTCAGTGAAGGTGCTGCAGAAAGTGCACCGCTCATTACTCAAATTGTCGTTCGAATTCCGTGGATAACGATTATACAGCATCAGGTTCAAAATCGTGTTTTTGTTTCCTTTTTTTCTGGACATTATTTATCTTTTTCGCATCATTTGTCCAAATTCTATTTCCCTTTTTTTCGGTGAATGTCGCAATTCATGAATGCCTAATTCGCAAATATTGTGATAACCATGCTTAGTGATTTATTAACATTTACTAGCTGAGTAAAGTGATGATTTGAAGTTCCACTGTAGTAACTGAATTTTGTGTCCCATACCTATCCTAATAATTGGAAATTTTTATAGTTTCTAAAGTTTTCCGTAAGTTAAATTCTTGCTTTTTGCTGTAGTCTGTTATTATAATGAATATTGTGTTCAGTGTAATATAAAATCAGTTTTGTTATGCGTAAGGTTTCCAAGAGAGTTGTAATCACTGTTGCTCGAGTAGCCGATACTTCATTGTCGAATGGCAATTTGCTTATGTTTTCAGTCAGTTCAACCTTTGGATGGAATGCGAGCGTTTTACGGTCTTCTTTTGGAGGTGCTTACTAGATGCATAAGTCGTCCGATCAATTACGTCGTATGTTATCACTGCTGCCTTTTGCTGAAATTAATTTCTCTAAAGCCCTTGGTAAATATAGAAAATCTTGAGGAAATCTTATTATATAGGAAATAAACGGCACCTCGTTGGTTGTATATGAATTAATGGTTCCTTCAGCAACGTTGAATGAGTTCAGTAGTGAAGTATTCTGACGAGTGATGTGATTTTGTAAATGGAATAAAAAATTGATCACTGAATTATATGTTGAACTTTCAAGGCATGTCGTGCATCAATGCCAAAACTGCTAGATTCGTTGAGCGTGTGCCAATGGAGACTGATGTCAGTTGATCAGCTGTCTGATATTTCCTCATTTATTGTCTCATCATTCCCCACCAATGCGCTCACTGATTCCAGTGATGTGATGGTTTCTTTTCTTACGTAAGTTGTTTTCTCATTTATTTGTTGTTGTTTGAAGTAGGAGTACTGCATATATTAAATTATGATAAGCTCATTGCCTTTACATATCTTCTCTTCATTTCATAACGACAAAGAATGAAACAACTCTGCTCGTGAACATCTTTCAACTAAATGTTCTGACACATTCAAGTAAATATTGTGTGCTTTCCTGATTCGTTGATGGAAATTTCATTTTTAGCAGCCTCTCATCGTGATCTTTTACTCGTTTATAATTCATCATCGTGAGCTAAATTAATTCAACGATTTATTATGGAAGTGTTCGTTTCTGTGAGAAATTATGAATAAAATCAATACTGGTTATTAATTTGACAATCTGTTAATGCTAGTAATTTATAGAACTTATCGACGTGTGTGTTGCTTCTCTACTGTACCAAGTAACAATTTTTCGTTTGCTGAAGAATATCAACGGCAAGCGATTTATGTTAGGACTCAGGTGGCAATGATGCGAAAGAATTCACGTGATAAAGCATGGGCGGTTGATTTTTATGCGGAATTAATCAAATCTGTGAATGCCATCATTGTCACTAGAGGTATTTCTTCTGATGCAAATTATAAAACTTCTTAAAGGTTTCATTCAGAAAAAGTTGTTGTTGGCCAAACTAAGAACGCTGCATTCCTAAAAGCTTCAACTACGTTTGAAGAAAATAGCGGTAAAGCTAAGCTATCTTTGGATTGACTTATCGGTGAAGTGCACAAAAAATCTTAAACTACTTTCAGGTGACACAACTGACCAACCGGCATGTTTATCTCATGAACTAACCGCATTTTGGGCGCATGTGACAGATGCAAAATTCGCAGGTTAGTTATTCCGAGTCGAGTAAAGCCAACTCTGTTGTCATGAATTGTTCAGTAATCAACTAATTTCACATCCTTTTTAAACGAGCCATTCATATTAACAGATGAAGTGCGATGTTACGTTCTAGCAGATTAAAACACTTCATCAATGGACTTTTATTTATTTATTCGCAGCCACTTAAGTACTCCTTAAAATCCTTCTATACCACTTGCGTTTATCGTTTCTGATTTATCAGCTATTATGTGGATAACTTTGTTAGTCTCCGTGACATGTTTGGCAGAAATGAAATCATCTCATTGTTATTTTTCTCACTTATATTTCATGTTTTATCTGTTGATTGACCGAGGAATTTCAGAAACTCTTAAAATCGAATTATAGACTTCTTGCAAGTGTATGAATGTAGAAATCATGTTTAGTGATCGTTCAGTTATTGAAAATTACTTGAATTTTTAGAGAGTTTATCGCAACGATTTTGTGAATGGATGAATCAGAATTGCGAATCACCGTTGGTGTTATTGACAATGAGAACGGTAGTCGATTCGTTGAGTGCAAACCAGATATCAGCAGCGCTAAATGTTCTTGAAAGATCTATACTTACTTATTTCAGTAGTTAGTATTTATTTTGATTAATTACAACTTGTCATTAATTAATCGCAAAATTTTCTATACCCTTCAAGTATCCTTTGTTTTTGCTGCTCAGCAGTGCTCCGAAGTTAAACATTTTCAAATTTTTTACTTGTATCTACTCATATTGTCAATCAGACAAAGCTAATTCAAGTGAATTTCGCAGTGCAATGTTGCAAAGATGATTTCGTTGCAGTCCAATTAGATTAGTTAATGAGTACGATCGATTATGAAGTAATTCATCTAAATTATCATTTTATTGCTAATTTCTTTCGGGTATGGTTGTTTTTATACTTTATTCATTGAGTCGTTCGAAATTCAATCCAGTCATACGTCATTCATTTAGGACCGGGCTCGTGTGATTGGACGGTGCCAACCAATTGGATCATATTACCCGATTCTTGTCGCCAGTATCTGTATACATTGCCGAGGTTTATATGTTTCTATAGAATTAATAATCACTTATCGCTTGAAGTCTGTAATTATCATGTTGTTCTTTGACAACTGTGATCTGTTTGCGAGAAACGAATTGAGAATTTTAACTTGCGAGAAATTTTTTTCATACTTTAGTCCATTTATTCGTATAGCGTAACTGTTGATTTTAACCAATCAAATAGTCGTTCTTATTCACTACGCAAAAATTATTGGGTAACCCGGTATAGTTTATCCGAAATTGTAACACTAAATTGTCGTATAATCTCTTTTCTTTTCTTCAGATTTTCATTTAAATTAACCCTGACTGGTAAGCTTTGAAATGATATCTAAACAAACTTGTTTGTCTGGAACCAGAATTTAGTTTTTACTGCCTTTGTTCCAGTACTTTTTCCTTCAGCCTCTTGTTTAAGAATACTAGTCGTAGTATAGCTGAGCAATTGTCTGTTGATAAAAATAAGAAATTATGATTCGTTCATGAGAACCACTGACATTTGTTTTTCAGTTCGGAGAACGGTGTGACTCCGCAGTTTCTTACAATGCACGTTTATGTAAACAAATCACTGCAGAAATGTTCATCTGCTGAACAAGAAACAACCATTCTAAAGAATCTTTTTGAATATCTATCTGGCTTGAAACCAAAGTATGTTTTGTTTTTTCTGTCTGTTTTTATTACTGCAGTATTTTAGCATAGCCGCAAAACTGGATTTCTGGTTCATTCATAAAATAATGTCATTCGCAGTATCTTTATGTGTTGTTCAAAAATCTCGTCATCGGATGCTTTTTACGGCAAATTAACTTTCCAAAATACTGTATGCCTTTTTATAAGAATTGCTCTCTTCATAAAATTCACTGTGACAGATAGGTGGAATTGCAGTTCCTTGGACTATCGATAACTTTTTCAGAGAGCATGTTATCTTCTTTCCCAAAATCTGTGTGACTTTAAAAATGATTACTATTCATCTGTCAGAGATCATTGTAATGTGTGTGAAGCGGTTTAAAAAAATCTTTGAGTTACCAGACTGTCGCTTAAATTGGTATCTGTTTTGAATGATTAATGTTCCTTTAACAGCACTCAGTTTTGCAGGTATGTGACAAACGAAGCTGCGTTCGTGTTAATTATTGACAAAATTTTGAAATTAACACTGCGGCAGTTTGGATTCGGTTTGCAACAAGGTAACGAATCATTAATGGCCTTTATTGACTGGCTTGTGCGTGTGCACAGCGAAGAAAAATCGAGTTCATTTTTTTCAATGATTGGTCTTTCCAAGAAGCAATCTTTTTCAATCAGGTTATTCACCGGACATACTTTATCGCAACGTTTCTTTTTGTTTCATTCATTATTAAGTAGTTTAGTCCCTTCTTTTCTCAAGACTTGTAATGTTTGTCATCTGGAGTTTATTCATTACCTTAAATCTATAAGATGAAAGGATTTTTTTAATTCAGCGAAATCACCGGGAGTTCAGTCAAAAAATTTTTAAATCGTGAATTAAGTTTCTTCAATATAAATTCCATTGCGTGTGGTAGTTATCTTCGCTATATATACAATTGGCATGGATGGGTTTATGAATGCTGAAAAATAGATATGATAACGCAAACAGTAAAATAAGGATAATAGATGATATATTAAATAATTTGAAGAAGTCATTGTGCACATAGCTTCATTGGTGACGTTTTTATTTACCCGCATGATGTCACCCTTTCCTTCAAACTTATTTCTGTTATTAAAGTCGTTAATAGAAATTCCAATCGAAATTAACAGTGATTATTGAAGACTGCGGTACTTATCGAATGTAATCGAACTGTTTCTAACGCAGCAAACGACTGCATCTGATCGAGCACCTCGGAATGCACCAAACACACCTGTTCTCAACACTCGCATACAAGCGTTCAAAGATATGAGCTCATCAAAGCTTTATGCTCAATTTCAAGCGACTTCACATCTCGCCTTACCATTTTTCACTAAAGTTCGATTCTATCACATCGCACATGCAGTTGAACTGTTCGCATTACTTGTCAATTCATTATTCACTGAAAAATTCTTAAAATCAATTCAGTATTTGTGATCTTTTCTTTATTCACCACTTAAACGTTAATTTATTCAATTTGCTATCCATTCATTCGTTTATAAAAACCGCTGTTCGGTATAAAAGTAGCATTGATGGTTCACCAGATTCGAAAAGCAGGCAATTTGCGAAGTATAGGTGCGTACAACGTACCACTGTTTTATGTTATTCATTCAGTTATTAACTCGTATATCATTTCTAACCAACCATTCCTTCATAAATTCAACATACTGTTATCGTAATCGTAGCTTTTATTATTTCTACTTGAGAAGTGCTTTGGTTAAGTGTTATTTTTGTACTCACAATTGATTCTGTCGATGTGTATATCTGCATTAATCATTTCTTGTTTTGAAACTTGTTGTTCTGGGTGCGTTTTCATGTGCACTACGGCCAAATCTGCTTCTTAACATTATTTTGCAGCAGCTCAAAGAAAGCTTTGAATTTCAGCATTTATTTGCATGTGTCTGCAAAAGCTGAACACTCGGCAGAATATGCAAAAGTTGTTAGTGGCGTCACCGGGTTTATGAAACTAATCTCATTAAAAAATTGAACATATAATAGTAAACCGGGTTTCTGTCGTTTGAGGCACTTCTAAGTGGTATGAGTAAGTTTCAAACAGTTCTGAAACAATTTCAGACAGTTTGAAACACATTTTGCAAAATGATCGTTTTTTACCTAACATTTTTTAGTCGGGAGAGTACTGTAAGCTCTTTTACTTCTCGTAAAACAAATGAACCCCAAACTACTTTAACGCTTATCAGAGAAGTATTTCGAACGAACTCTCTTTTCACTCGTTTCCCTACTATTATAAGTTTTTACATTCGGTCTTGAGAAGGCACTATTAACGAAATTTATCGGATATAGAACGATTATTGCGTTGTGGTATAATGTCTGCCATTTTTCTATGATTGCGATTAACTGCATTTGTTCGTTTCCATTTCGCCGCGGGTATCCATACTACTGAACTTTTCTCGTTCATCTATATGTTGTTGTCATTTCCCTCGTGCTAATTCACGTTTCATTTTTGAAACACTATTATTTGTTGCCTATTTCTGCAATGTAAAGCAAGATAAAGAGGTCAAGAATTGTGATTCATTGTGAAATTACATGTTCATTGATGAAATTTGAAAGTATTTCTTATATTTTGCAGTCGTGCGTCGTCGAATTGTATCGAACTAGTGTTACAAGTAGTGATGTCTCTGTTCCAGTTAAACTATTCTATTCCAAGGAATAGAATAGAACAGTCCTCAAACGAGGAACGCACAGAATAGAATAGAATAGAGCCGTTTTTGGAGAGCACTAGAACAGGACAGAACAGTTTTCAAAAACATGGAATAGAGACATCATCAGTTACAAGACATTTTCGAAGAAAGAAACCATAAGAAATTTATGCTGCAATCGATATATCATCAAGATAAGAGCAAAGTATTGTTCGATCAGGAAGCACTGCAATGTGGAATCGCAATAAAATTACTCATTATGAACACAATTGTAAGAGCAGTGGAGGCATGAAGCACGATTAGTGTTTGAAAATCAGCAGTGCGAATGTGACGGTCAGCAAGCTTTGAAACGAACGAGTATTGTTGATTTAGTAACTGCTCAGTTGTACGTTTGAGTGTACTGAAAGCAAAAATATTTCTCAAAGTGTAATTAGAATACACGTAAACAGCATAAGTAGTATGAATTTAAGTATTATAAACTTTTAGATGTAATATTTCATGTGAGAGTAGGTAAAATGTAGTCGCAGAAGCCGAGAATGAGATGTGAAATAACGCTATAGAATGATATGAAATACAAGTGCATGTTCACGTTTCTGTCCTTATCATTTGTATGTTCAGCTATGTTACGTATGGACCTCATCAGGGAGATGTACATGGGAGTAAATACAAAGCAGATTGTAGGAGTAAATATGATTGATGGGATAAGTGAGTATAAAACTGGATACTGTTCATTAAAGGTTATTACGGTTGAAGCGATTATGGAGGACTGAGAGAATAATGTGTGCGTCGAGTTACATGTATTTACTGTAAAATATGATAAAAGGAAAGATTTGGGGTGAGGACAGACTATATGCAGTGTGGTGGGAGGACAGAAAAAAGTCGGAGATGAGGAAATCGGGACGAAATTTTGCAGTCAAGTACTCCGAAAATGTCATCAGCCCGAAAAAAGTCGGAATGGAGTCCCCGAAATTTCTCGATCCCCGCGCCACACTAACTATGTGTATTATATAGAAGCGGGCATCATGTCTTCGAAATAGATAATTTTTTAAAAAAGTGGTGTAATTGTTATCTGCTTTGTCGAGTTGGTGTTATAATATAACAATTATGTAACTTTCGAATAGAACCGAGTAAGTAATGTGATATATTTTGATTTGCACATGTATTTCTTTTGCAGAATTGATTTCTACATATTTTTAAAGACTGTGATTTATTGGGTTGCGTAAATTGATAAGATTATTAGGCCTAATATTCAGTTATTTGGTTATATTATATAGGTTATGCTCAAGGACAATGGTAACATTATTGATGATTTCTTCTAGACTATAGTTGAAAGTTTTTCCATAGTTAGTACCTTTTTAAGTAAGTTTGTTGAGTGTTTATTATTTATGATGTCTGTAATAATGTGATTAAATGGTTTACACAAGAATGCAGAATTTTTGCTCAAGCAAGGAATTGTGACGATATCAGGAGTTGGTTGTTTGGTCGAGTGAGGGTTATTGTGTATATTACTTATTGCTTCAACAAAAGTCATCATTCTAATTGAAGTCAATATACATTACATTTGTTACAAATGGAGTGTACAAAAATCGTTTTCGAAATGAAAAACTGAATCCTAAGATGATTACAATTATTAAACAATATTAATTCAATGGTACAGCACAGATGGTTACTGTAAGAGTACGATATATTTTAAATATTCGAATCATCATTGAGTATTCGTCATTCACTTTTTTTGATAGACTACGCAGTATTAACACAGAACATCAGAGAGTAATTGTAGATCAAATAGTGGAAGAGATGTGCACTGAAAGTGATCATGCGATCGTGATTAGTAGATGGAATTCCATCGCTGGGTACGACCCATCAAAACCGATGACGCTGACGATGTTGATATTTTGCGGAACAGTTCAGATTCATTCTCATTCTCATCGACTGTTTGCCTTCGTCGCCGTTCGGTCCCAAAATACAACTCAGCCACGTTTCGGTCTAATTCAAAAGTGAATCTGATAGTCTCACCGTTCTCTAGTTTCACTTCAGGTTTAACGTCACCGAATCCTTCAAAACGAGGTCGTTCATTTGACACATGCTGAAATATAGCATACTTTCATGACTAAATGTTGCCTCGTCATGTATTCCTTTAACAGAACAGCGATATAATGAGAGATGAATAAAATTTGTAATTGACGGTTATCCATTTTTTGAGAGAAATAGTTGATTGATCAACATAACAGTGTTGTTCATAAATGAATCGAAAGGAAATTCGTTTTTAATGAATTTTAATTTGTCTAAAGCTAAATCATACAAGCGAAATAACTGCGGAAAGCAGCAGAAGTAAAATAAATGCACGCATATTTGAACAGTTATCATTTATTGAGTCAAAGGGCAAGGATTTGAAGAAGAACCAGAAGCGTATTGAAACTCACTTCGAGCTTTACCTCTAAACTATATTTTTTGTTGGCCTTAATATGTTTTCCATGTTTCAATGTAAATCGAATCAAATGCTGAAGAAGTGTCACATCGACTTCAACACGTTCTGGAAGTGATACTGGTATCTGCAGAGTGCGTCGTATCTGTAAGTCATGATGCTTGTGCACCTAGAACTGATCTCATATCAACAACTTGGGAAAAAATTTGAACTTTGATTTTTTAATTCTTTTTTTTGATTTCCAAATTCCTTAATGCTATCAAAAATATATTGGAACATCACAGTCAGTGCTTCTGTCTTCTAGAACGCAAAATAAATGCGCATTTCGATTGCATGGCTAAAGCAAGAAACATCGTTTGTCGAATATGTTTGCAGATATTCTAATAATTTGTAAATGAAGTGAACTGAATGAAAAGTTTACATTCACGGAAGGTTTGTGATGACACACAACATCATTGTTTCCATCACAGAAACCGAAAATACTGAATCCGAATAACTCGATATCGTGATCAACTGTGAAGCTGAAAATCTTGTTATTATCATTTGCAGTATCGCTACTGAACTGCTGCATATGTGGATCAAGCCTTTCGTTTCCTCAAATAATTTACTGACAGACAGAGGACAGTCTCTTGAGTTATACTTTCAGGTTTTGTTGAAAACTAATTATACCGTTATAACGCAAACGATAGAGCATATTTCTTCCGTGGAATTTCTAAACATCTTTTTACTAAATTCAATGGTAAACAAAGTTTGGTTTATTTCCCCTTGAATTGTTTATTCTGATTAGATTTGACAAGTAAATAAGAGAGTAATGAAGATTCTCAAGTCAAAATTGTTTCTCAAAATGACAATTTTGTTTACCATGAACGGATTGTATTGTGTGTTTTGTTGGATCGTTCAGTTTGACGAAATCGCGACAATGTGTAGCAACGTTCTGTAACCAAATCGAATATCATTCTCAAAACATAAAATCTAAATTCAAAGAATTTAAGATATAACCTAAACAAAAAGCTTAATATCTTCAATTCAAATCTCAAAAGCAAAAGATTCCCACAAACAAATCCTAAGCAACAACAAAATTTTGTGAGAAAATATGTTGCAGCACGGAAGTGAAGCACGGGTACTTAAGGACATAAGTGCGAAAGAATGAGGTCGGTCGGTCGGTCGGTCAGTCAGTCAGTTCAATAAGTCAATCCAAATATATCACAGCTCGAGTGCATAATGTTCAATCAGTATATCAGTTCCTATTGAAGTCGTCAAGTGATTAATTTATCATCAGTGATTCAGAAGTATATTAATTGTATTAACTGACTATATTCTGTGAAGACTACATTATTGTGAGGGCTTCTGTAGGTCCTTCATCCATTGTTGCTGATCATATTGTAATTAATTGAAAAGTCATACTATTGTAATTACTATATTGTTACACTATGCTCACGCTTCCACATATATTTAACAATAAATTCTATATCAAACACTCAGTCGCATATCCACCGACATATCATTTTTACTGTTCATTATGTTTTGCAGTTAATGAGCGTGTAAAATAGTCATAATTAATTAGTAAAGTATTTCCCAGTGGACTGCCTACAACGAACTTTTTTTCAATGTTAATTCCAAAAGTTGCTCGATCAGTTTCATTTTCAGTGCGTTATTCCATTAATTCATGCGTTACGATTCCATGCATCACCTTACATACAAGACTGTTTTTGCACCGACTGACAATCGAGTGAAATCTCGCTCAAAATGAATTACAATTTGAAAATACCATCAAACATTCCCCTTAAGCTGGCAGCAAATCCCCACGGTACTATGGATGGTATCTGTTGAATTGATGATGATTCCTGGTCCGCTGATTCAGTTCGTTCTGAAAATACAACAAACGATTCTTTGACAAGAAAGTTGTTAACGAATATACAATAAAACTTCCCGGAAAAATTCTTAGATTGCAGATATAACATCACTTGATTGCTGTTATATGACGAATGGCACAAAACTGATAAATAAACGGAAAAACTTGAGAAAGAAATATATTTCATCTTGATTCGAATTAGAATTTAAGGATTGGAAGTGTTAAGCTATACCTTCTTCAACTATTTCATCAGCAGGTTCAAAGGGATTCTCGGAAGATATCTTTGGATATTGACCAGATGCGTACATTACCATTTCCTGTGAAGTCAAAACACCTGTGCGCGCTATAACATTTTTACACATTGACATTAACATTGGTTATTTGTGTTTAATCGGAGCCCATCTTTCAAGTGCTTGCTATTTTGTGCTTTTCATTGATAATTATCAGTGGAATCCATAACATGCTAAAACAGAGACGTTTTCATCTTTGTTTAATATTCACTGCTAGACGAAAAAGTGCCAAAAAATGCACCGAAAGCTAGACCATTTTCACACAAATGGGAAAACAATTGTATTTATTTGCAAACAGCCCGTAATGAGGTGCCCCAAAAATGAATTTTCACTTATGTACAAATTTCACTATTATATATTTTAAATGTTTTGATGTCCGAATTCGTTTTTCTTGTTCTAAAAACTGCTATAAATTTATGCATTGCTTATGATTTTATGATGCCACTGTGTACTCATTCGCTCTCCATTCAGAGATCAGCGGGGTTATTGATAGTGGGAAAGGGAGTAGCAACATGTAAGACGGCCTAACCCAGTCACCTATTTGCGCGAATTCATTTAATATGGATTGAGCACGGCAATCTAGTAAATTCAATAAATTTGTTTCGCATTGTTTGAAGTACTTCAAAGAGATCACTAATTGATAGCATTGTTCTAAGTTGATAGTCTGTGTCTGATAGGGACGTTTGATTGATTGGTCTAATGGTTTTTATCTATTTTAAGTCTTATCAGTTTTGGAATTCATTATGTGAGCACTTTGAAACGAATGCTATTGATTATTGCATTACATATATGAAGATAAGTTTTTGTCATAAAAAGGACTCACCAACATCGGCAAGTTCTTGGTTGGTCAAAAGTTCAAATTTAACGAATGTTATTAGTTCACCAAGTGCTTGCCTTTGGTTTAATGGTGTCACATCCAAATTTTGGCGTTGACATTCCTGAATCACGCATTGTGGTATTCACGGCATTGTTCTAACTACACAGCAAATGCAATCTTCGTTGAATATCACGTCATGAATTGCTACATAATTAAATGAAGCAAAACTTCAAAAACAGTTCTAACCGCAATGCTCCAAGACAGAAGTGACATAAAGAAACGAAAATGCTCATGCGGTATGAAAGTGTCTCGATTGATTAACAGACGCAAAGTAGCATGAGAACAATCGAGCAAACCTGCAAGCAACAGAGTTCTATTTCATTATTCGATTGTCCACTGTGGAGTGAAATTGGTTCAACTGAATCGTTGATTTCTTTCAGCTTGTATAATTATCAACGTTATCCGAATTCAACAATTCTAGTTTTGTTGAATTCCCTGACGCTCTTCTTATGCTTAAGTAATTCTTTCACCAACAGAACTTTGAACTGTTCAAAAAATTTTTATCCGAATTCCGTTTCTTACATTAAACATTCCAGCTTTTGGTGTTATCTCAGCAAGCGACATGAACGATCGAGCAAAGTACTAAATTTATGAAGTTTTTGGCTGTAAAGTAATCGGCAACCTTGCACCATTAGTTTATGAACATTTGTATATTTGTTCGAGAATTGCGTGGAACATTGTAAACTGATACAGCTGACTTACGTAGATGATACAGAATTTAGATTAGCCCATGTCAAGCGTGTATCGCAACCCTGCAGATGACAGCTAGCATCAAATGTGTTTGAACTCACCCTCTGAAGATAATACTTCTTCCGGATGATCATCAGCTATACGAAGACATTTTTGCACGATAATATTTTCGTTCAATGGAATGGCCTGCTGAAGAATGTAAATGCTGTCCTTTGCGCTCATATGTTTCAGATGCATTTTACAAGCCAACTTCAGCGCTGGCATTCGAAATTTATTTGCTGAAAGATTGAGGCGGGCTATGATTTGTCTTTTATCTAATTATCTGTTTATGTTACCGTGATCGCAATCAGTTCGCTCTGATGAAAGTAGCGTTTGACGCTCGTCAGATCAGTTGCGCATTATGTGCACTGAAAAACTGATTGCAATCTGAACACAACCACTCGGCGAAAGCTGAACGGTATCTGCGATAGTTCAGAGGTAGAGCCCCAACCGGTGATTGGTACGACTCCCGTTCGCGGAGAAAAGCTTTGCTCGAAACCGAGTTATGATATTTAAAAATGCTCATTGTGAGAATGATAAAGCATGTGTACCTGCATAAAGAACGTGTAATGCAGAAGAACTAGGAATTCGAACTGAAGAGCAACGTTGTTCTGAGTATAAAAAATTCAGTACTGTTTGTATTGTTTCTGGACTCATATCAGGAAATTCGATGGGTGAATACTCATTGCCACCCAAATGACCTTCAAGCAAAAAACTTTTTTAATGCGAAGATCAGATTCTAGGTTGAAACGAAGAACAGCGGCGGTATAAATTATGATTGAATACGTCTCTTTAAAAAGTGATCAACGGTTAAATGCTTGCCTTTACTCGGATCAGCGAACATTTCTTGAAAAAATTTAGAGCCAGAACTAAGGACGAGACGATGTGCTGCGAAAATCTGAAATCGAACTTTCTTAGTAACAAAGACGATCCTAAAAAAGTGTTGCTTTTGAAACTGATCAAATTATTTTGTTCATCTGCAATAAAAAATCGAATTCTTTTTGTTTTACCAGTGGAATACCAAGTAATGTTCTATGAAGAGTGGAAATTTTTGCGCCATCTTCTGATTATTTTAACACAGGATGAAACTTTTATTGAGGAAAATATGGCTGTATGCATGTGCAATTTGTCCGAATGATTGTTCACAATGGATGCTTATCTTCCCAACATGAATCCATGTTAAAAGAGAGGAATTGTTTAAAGAAGTGAAAAAATCAAATCAGAAACGTTTGCGTTTGAAAGCGATAACAGTTCACTGAAAGTGAAGTATTCATTGAAGCACATTCTGAACAATCTCAAAAAATGTTATTGTGATGAAAGCACAACATTTGTTTGTACCTTACGTTCTTCTCCAACTGCAAGAAACGTGTCACAACCGAATTTTTCAATCCATAATTTTCGTATATTCTCAGTGAATGGTGCTTCTGATGAACAATCTTGTTCACTTTCATAAATGACGTTCAAGTCTTGTTCTCTTTTAATAAGTGGACTCATTTATGCAAAAAACTTAGCCTTAAAATATACCATCAGTTACTTTTAACGATCAATTCGCAACATTTTAAGGGCACCTGTATATGATGTTCGATTATAAACTTTGTGCTTCATTTGCAGGTTTTTTCTTGAAGTGACTAAATCGGAGTTGCCCTATGTTTTGTCAACAAAAAATTTACGGATATTTTCTTTCGAAGAGTGAGTGAAATCTCTCAGCTATTCATGCAGCATAAATAAGTTTTTAATTGATTAACTGCAATTGATCATTGATAGTTGAGAATTACAAATGAAATTATTCGGGAATGAACGCGAGTGTAAGTAAATGAATAAGCTGTTGTTCATCATAAACTCATAAAAATCACACACAAATGAAGGATCGCGCGAAGGAGCGCATAAATCGATGCAATGCTAGGGCTCAGGAGGTGGTGAAGTGAACGAAAAATAATCATCTTTTCTATTGATCTGCTATTCATCTCCCAACAAAAATTTTTTTGTTCACAGGGAACCTTCTACCAGGAGAAAGGTGATAAATCAGTTAACAATCAGTAAAGCAAGCTTGGGTCAGGCAATGAACTGACTTAAATTAAACGCACGTAATATCTAATCCACTATAACGTTTTATCTCAACAACATAAAATAATATTACTCTTATTTGATTCTAACTCCATATTGTTTATTTTGCTTGACTATAACATTATGCCTATAAATCGGTGGAAAAGTTGAGAGGAAAAAGTTATCAAAAGTAGAATTGAAAAAAACTCTGTGGAAATCTGACATGTCTGGCGATGAGCTGCTGTGTGACAAATAAGGGTGCAATGAAGAGAATTTGGTAGTTTTTAGTCAATATGTTCAATTCACTTATGCGGCACATTCCAAAGATATCACATTCCTGATGTGCGATGGGCGCTTCGTTCGATTATTGATGATAAACTTGACAGAGCTTATCAGCAAGTGAAGCGTGTCTAGAAGCTAAGTCTATGATAAAATTTGTATATGTCATTCTAATGCTTATCTTATCAGCATAATTCAGTGCTGAAACACTGAAAGTTTAATCACTTGTAATGAGAACAAAACAGTCTCTTCCATCAATATTTATTTTAAAGTTAACATTTGCAAATTTTCACTTGTAGAATGTTTTTTCGTATTAAGCACTTCCCAAATCCACAGTCAGCATTCCACAGAGTTTTAGTTTTTAAGCAACTGCTCAATCTACCACAGCCGTCTCTCATCTCCACATCTTAACTGCACCGCTGCTTATTCCAGCATACAAATATTCAGTCGAATATATGGACCGGATAAGCAAACAAATCTCTACGAGTACTTCACATTATTCCAAAACCCTGCACGTCATTGCCTTGATTGACAGTGGAGAACGTTCGCAGTCATGCGACTTCAATTACGTGGATTTCAAAACTGAAAGTGATAAGACCATCTCATTGCAGCTAATACTTCCTCGAAGACTGTGAGGGACAAAATGAAAGAATATCTTCAGAAAAGAAGATTTTTAATGCAATAAGTCATGCAATTTCATTACAGTCGGTTGTCAAAGTATTTATTATTGACTATCCAATGTGCGTTTCGTCGCAATCTCCATGTCAAGCTTCTTCACAAAAACAATTTATTGATATTCATTACGGTTTCATAGCGTCTCAATAATTGACTGAGTATAGCAGAACTTATCAAGCTTAACAATTAGAAAAAAGAATCATATGACGATAGCAGTATATTCAGATTCGTTAATAAAAAAAGAATTTCCTTCCTAAAAACGTTTACCATATCATGAAACACATCATCCTATTGCAAATCTTTGCAACATTACTGTTTTTGTACTAAAGAATATGAATCGATTGAACTGTTTAAAAGTTGAGTCTTCATTTTTGGTATTTTGATATTGTTGTCACTTTTCAGTGATGCATTCATCGTAATTGTGCATAATACAGGCCAATTCTCAGCAAAAATATCCGAATGAAGAGGAAATGTTTCAATAAATGGTAACCGATCAAGTTGCAAAGTAGTGCCACTCATAACTGTTCCAGCGAAGGAATCATACATAATTACAATTAGACAATTCTCAAACAATACTGGAATGTTCGAAGAAACATGAAAAGACCACGAATGAGATCATGAATGAATATCATTTGATAACTGATTAACGATTAGATGAAATACACAAATAGCCGTCGTGCCGATCGAGTTGTATGACTTGATGACGCTTTTTTTGGCGTAGCACCACCCTGTTTGCACCTGTTAATGGAAATACATCGAAAAAGCTTACTGTCGACAATAATTTGCAGCCAATTTGCAGTCAATGCAAGCAAATGACCAGAAATATTGATGCTTTTCTGTATTCCATGGTAGTTCATCAGAAAAATTCACAACTTTACATGAAACCTATAAACTTAACCATATTGAATGGAAATAAATGACTGATTTAAAAAAGAAATATGCAGATAGAACTTACCTGATGAAGTCGCATTTAAATTTTCATGAAATATGCAGAAAGGCGTACAAAATAATGATTGAAAAGTACGTAAGAAATCGTTCGACATTGTGCAATAGAGAACGAAACTAATCGAACTGTATAAGAGAGTTAACATTTCCATAAAAGAACCAAGATGATCATAAACTCTGATGCCAAAGCTTTCACCATACATTCCTGTGCATAGATTTAGAACACCAAGAGGCAATTCAACCTTAAACACATCACATTATGTTCACACAGAAGAATGTGATCTGATGCTCTCAGCCCCACCGAAAAAGTGGCATATATAAGAACAAGAAAAAGAAAGTGGTTTTGTCTGGAAATCGTGCTGATAACGTTACTGAATAAGTAACTCAAACGGCATAAGCTGAATCACCATTAATTTCTTTGGTAAGCTTTGTCAATTACAAACTTCAACACTTACTAGATAGCGTTCAATGACTATTGAAAGGTTTCAGTGAATACTCCTGTTCAGGCAATCACTTAATTTGTAATATCGACATCATCAAAAAAACAAAGAAGCTCTCACTGCAACACATAAAAAGAGGATAATGACAAGCATTCGAGTCTTGCGAGTAGTTGATATGAACGATCTTTTTGAACGGATCATCGACTTCTTCAGAGCATCACCACCACTTTCATTGTGATTTTGCCATATCTTTCGTCGTTTTTCAACGTTATGTAGAGACCTTAAACACCATGATGTACGTGAAACTTTAGAGCGATTTTGCTTGTTTCTGTTTCGAGCTCCAATTCAAATGATTGAATAAGTGAGGCAAATAGCATTAAAATGTTTGACATTGGTACATCACTTGCTTTCGAGCAAAACTTTCTTCCGCAAATGGGGGTTGAACCCGTGACGGTTCGACTCCCGTTTGCGGGGGAAAGTTTTGCTCGAAACCGATTGGTGTAGCAATGTCAGTGATGCTGCAGAGCCTGAGTCGGGTTATGATTTGGTTTATATCTTCATGATCAGCTCGAGGAGCGCTACAATATGATATATATTTCATGACGAAAGGCCAGATTAAGTTTGTGACCTTTCCTTGTAAGACAATTGTTGTTAATTTTGGAAAATATGTTTCATAATAAGTTTGTTAATGAGCTGTGCAATTCAAAACAGAATCTGCAGCTGTTTTTGCTTCATATTGTTGCAAACTTTCACCTAATGCTCATAATATTTGAGCGTGGACATAAATTTGAAAAAAAATCAATCCAAGCACCTTATGAGAGCGATAAGAAGAAGAGAAAGTAGCGTCGACGGAATTAATTTCATGACTATGCCAAACATCCAAAACACAAACTTAACAAGTGTTGCATTCTCGGAATAATTCAGATCATACATCGCTTCTAATGAGCAGTTCATATAGTCTACTTGAACTTCGCCAACCTTCAAATTCATTACTTCTAGTTTAAGAATAATTCTACTTCTACATTTCACTTAAACGTAATTCTTGTCTGCTGATAAACACAGAATTTTCTGCGCGAGTGAATCGAACCTTGAAATTGATCTTGTCGCAAGCGAAAGCTTTATATTTCGTCATTTTCTAACAGTCGAATGAGCTGCCAACCTGAGATGTGAAAAATACAGGTGAACATATGATAGGCACTACGATCCAAATAATCCACGACGTGATGACAGCCAATTTTGTCCTGAAATTTGTTTTTGTTTTCATTTGGATGAATCAAATGAAAATTTTATACAAGAGGAAATTTCTTAAATGCGATTTTCTAAGCAACACACGTCCTAGTGTTAACAATCCTGAAACTATAACTTCATTTTCAAGGGTTGACGTTACTCGTATGATGATCAAGCTCCAACTTACCTGTATAAATATCTACTCGCTTGGATTGGCCATCTTAACGCACCATAACGGAAGATTGCTATAACAAGTGTGTGTGCGAATGCCACTGAAATTCATTGATAGCATGATTCATTGATCATCAATTCATTTGAACAACAGAAAGGTGACTCATAAAATAACGAAATGGCACAACCTGTGTGAAAAATAACGTTGCAATTAACATTGATAAGTCGATACCAAGCGAAAGTATATGTCCATGGCAAAGAATAGCTGCAAAACATTGTTTTTGTGTTAACTGGTGGAATTCCATCAATTGAAGAACCTTATAACGATTGAAATGTCCAAGATAATGCTCGAGTAAAAATATAAACGTAATCTATTCCAAAATGACCAGGCAGCTATTGAAGGATGATCAAATCAATTAATCTGCAAGTCAACTGGATTTCTTTCAAATTCTAATGCAAATAATTCCAAGCTATTTCACTAAATTGTTTTCAGTCACGGTAGAAATATGTAAATTCAATGTGGTGAATGATATGCTGACGAAATTCGATATAACAGACCATTTCATTCTGTAGTGTTCAACAGTCAGAAGACCAAGATAATTCGAGGCAAGCATCCATTGTGCGAATGAAAGACCAGCCAACAACACACTGATTGGAGTTCGCATCCACTTTCTAAATTCTCCTAATTGTAAAAGTTTTCAAAACTCAATTTAC